TCGAGTCATCTTATTACAGCACGAAACACTGCAAAAACGCATGATCGCACGGGCCCGCCCAGTGCGTTTCGCCAATGATTGTTCTGGAAATGCTGTCAATGCCAGTAGACAAAGTTCGGCTGGAGCACTGCAGAAGAGGGAATAAAATTTAGTTAAAATGCGAAATTCACCAAGCTGTAAGAAAATTTCGTTACGGGCATGCAAAGTATAACAAATATGGGCATCAAAATAAGCCGGTGCTACGCTTTTGCGAAAAATAAATAAACGATCCCCCCTCCTGAGTGCTCTTCTCCTCTTCCAAATGCTAAATTTAACGCTAAGTGTTAGATTTAAACAAAGTGGACGCGAAAACGAATTGAAGTGACCTCCCCTTGTCGAAATACAACTTTTTTCAGACAAACTATACGGGAATGAAGAGTGGTCTTGACTGTCAGTTTTGCTGTTATCACTGTTCGTCACGCTAATTTGAAGTAGTGCAAATTAGGGGTTGTTTCATGCTCATCAGTTCGTTTGTTTGGACAATCCACAAAACTGGTGCTAATCATCTATTCCTATCTCCTTCCAACAGCAGACAGCGGGGCAGAAAAAGCAGCAGCAGCAAAAGCACCAAGTTCAGTCGTTAATTTGCCAGTGCGCCGTAACTACTTACGGGTGCATGAGAAGGATGTTGCGTGTAACTTATGCTCCTTTCCTGTTAAAAATACGTCCAGAGATCTCACTAAACTTTTACGTTTTCTTTTTCTGCTCACTGTAAGGTTTACTTGTGCTGGTAGTATATTGTTTATATTGAAATAAAACAAGCCAGCATTCATGGGTGTACTGGTAATAAGCACTATCTTCACAATGACTCTTACGAAAAAGGAAATCCGTTGACAGCAATTTTTTTTTTTCACGTATTTTCGAATAAGGGAAAAAATATTTATCACACGACGAAGATCAGCAACTATTGAAAAAAAAAGGGAACAAAGATGTCAAAACGCAAAAAACGATAAAAACAATGCACTGTGACAAAGAACTATACGGGAACCGCCCAGATACCGATAGCTATAATGAGATTCAAAAAGCAGTGTGCTTTTCTGCTCTGCTGTTACTAAAAACAGACAAACAATTTCTTTAATAGATTTTTTGCAAAATAACATAAAAACCCAGGCTGCGACGCAACAGGCTTGCCGATGCGACCATGCGTTTAATTCCTTTAGTTCCTGAACTGGCACTTTGCCGACCACTGCGAAATCTTTACTTTGACATATCTGCATACGAGATGCATGCGTACATTAAAGCTGAATTTGAAATGCGTAGCTCGTACAAGGACACAGCCTATGTTCACGAAATTTCAGCCCTCTGTCTTTCTTGGTTCCCGAGATCGCTCCCCTGTCAAAAAACTCGCATATTTTTTGGCGCGTTTGTAAGTGGGACCCAGAAGTACACGAATGACAATACTAAAGCGGGAGGATGGGCACATACTGCAAAACTCCCAGCTTCTTAGCTTTTCCGGTTCTCGAGTTGAACGTGCGTAACAACAAGGATGAAAATACAAACAGCCTCTAGCCAACATGCGTTTTTGCGTTTGCATAATATACAAAAGCGCATTATAGTGAAAACCCACCTACTGTAACACAAAATCATGCTGGTAGCACGTACCAAAAGTGACTGAATTAATGAGCTGCTTGCTGCAAAATTTGCTGCTGAAAAGAAGCTCGCAAAAAAAACTATTAGATCTGAAAAACTCAAGAAATCAAAAAATCACGAATTTAAAAGAAGTTTCATTTGGTTAAAACGATGATGCGGAAACAACAGAAAGAGTATGAAGCTGAAACTGCCTGAAAATCAGTAAAAACAGACTTTATCGACTCAACTGAAGTATTCTTAAAAGTCTGAACCAGTGAGAAACTGCTTCCGCAGACAAATGAAAGGAATTCCATGGACTACAATTTTTGGTACTCATTACTGTTTAAATGCACTGAGAGACAGAACGGGCAAAAACGGGAAGGTGCGGGGGAGAACTAACTGTCCAACTCACTGTCACTACGACTAGTATCCTTACCTGTCTCCTCCTCCTCGTCATCACATTCCAGTTCTTTCGGTTCCTCGCCATTCTCATGTCCATCCAAATCTGACGGCTGAAACGGTGAAAACAGTGCTGGAAATTCAGTGAAAGCCCGCATAAATTAGATATTACGTGAAAAGCAGAATATTCAGAAAAAACAGAAAAACCTGCATCGACGACACCTCAGCAATTCCTTCCCCCATTTCATTAGCGACAATCACAGGTTTTTCGTCATCCGCATTAGCAGTAGCGCTTCCAGTTACTGTAACGGAAGAGCGGACTTTTGCAAACTCGGGGTGCTCTTCATTATCGGATTCAACTTCTTCAGCTTGTTTGGTCTCCGATGATCCCAAATCCTCTTCCATTTGCAGTTGTCGATGTTCAATTAGCTCTGCAAATTAAAAAAAAAATTAAAGATAGCAATTAACAAAAGACGTTGTACTCCTAAAAATCTCAAGCAATGTTTTCCTGAATGCCTATTTTAACAATGACTATTGTTGAATGGCCCTCGGAAGAAAGAAAAATCAATTCAAAATCCATTTTCCTGAACACCTGATAACCTTACCATCGATCTTTTTTACAGTCGTTTTCAAAAGTTCGAGGGTCCGAAGTGTGTGCTTTGCAGGCAAGTAGAATATGGGAGGCTTTGCTTTTGTTTGAATAAAGTTCTGCAGTTTACGGTAGTGCTCTTGTTTCTGCTGCGCCTAAAAAAAATCTTCCCAGTTTTACGGTACAGTTTCCAGCAAAACAAAGATTCTGATAAAAATTTATAAGATCGCTGGGTTTTCTTGTGGCAGATGTTTACGCTTTCAGAAGAGACCTTCTTTCACGGCAACACAAAAAATAAAGCATTCTGCTAGCTTCCTTGTTGTCTTTGTGTACCGGCAATAAAGACAAAATCCGCTTCGCTCATGTTTTTTTTTTCCAGTTAGTAAAACCGAAGTAGTAAATTAAGAGTACGAAAAAATACATGGCATTTGACGGCTGACGCATGTGCAGAACAGTATTAATGTTTTGAACAAACACTCACGTCTTTCTGACCAGAACTCCGAGGTTCTTCAATCATCAATACACTCAACGGGAAGTCAGTTTCAGAGACTTAGGAACAACTACAGAAGGTTCCAAGCTTCACTGCTGCTCAATGAATGTACTGCGTGCATGAGAATGTTTTTAACAATATTTGTAGATGGAAGTCCGCCTTGAAAGCTTACATATTGTATAATCGCTCTCTTTCGCTGCAGCATTTTTATCAGCCGCGCTTTTTCACGGCGTTTTTCGAGCAGAGCAGCTCTTTCTCTGGCCAATTTCTCACGCTCCTGCTCTTCCTCTTCCCTTAGACGCTTTTCCACTTCCTTCTGTTTTTCAGCCTGGAAAAACCGGTGTATCACGATTCAGACAATCTTCAATACGAACACTCTTTATGAAACTGGAAGCGCACTCTTCATCGCCAATTTCTCCAGGAGTGCAATGAAAAAAATATTTTTTTGCACAGTACCTGGACTTTCTCAACCGTGGCTATCTTTTTTTCGTCCATCTGAAATCGTTGCAGTGTTCCTAGCAGCAAATTTGAGAACATTCGTCGGTTCCTGTCAACAAGATCTTGATTAAAAAAAAAAAACGCTACATCCGAGAAATTACAATTTTAAAAAACAAAAACCTCAGTTTACGGTGAAAATACACAGATGCTAATCGTACAACTAACCTATACGAGTCTGCTCATGTTAGTAAAGAAATGGATTCGAAAAAGCGATTCTCTGCACCTTTGATCCCATTCAGTCAAAACCCCTTCAAACAGGCATGACAGGTACGAACTATCATCTGGCAGAAAAAACTGAAAATGCTTCTGGCAATTAAAGAACCCTTCAGTATGCAGGGACAGTTGCACTGAAAAAGTACACTGGAATCTGGCAGTAGCGCAAGCATTCCTAATACACAGCGAAACAGTAATAAGCGCTGTTTGACCTGCCCATGATGGTCATCTAAAAAAAGTTCTGCGTGCTTAAGTCCGTTGAAAATCCGCATTGACTAATCGCATCATTTGTTTTATGGTACAGGAGAATTTCAAAAAGAAACATTTAGGAAGTTATGAAGTATAAAAAAAAGGAATGGTTTACGAGGAATGAAGAGAATGAGAGAAAAAAAAAAAAAAAAAAAAAAAAAAAAAGG